TTTTCAAATGGGACGCTATGACAGTAGTAATGAGGCTATGTAGCGTATTTTTTCATTTTCAAAACATGAAAGATACCCCACTGTTGTTCATTTGGCCGTACATCTGGAAAATGGTCAAAGGGTGTACTTTACAACGATAAACGTATTACAACGAATTGAGAGGCCGCCATCGACAACATTGACCATCTTCTTTGAAATGTGCCAGAATGATGACTTTGCAAGAACACTGCTTTATTCCGAAATGCCACGAATCAATCATTAAAGAAATTTCAACGACGAAAACAAGGACAGCCGGTTCCAAATTACCAACAAGTATTCTCAACAGATGCACTAGGACGTCTTTACACAGTACATCCCAGCCAAGACGAGTGTTTTTATTTGCGTTTACTGTTAATCAATGTTCGTGGCCCAACATCATTCCAACATCTGCGAACTGTTAATGGCGTATTGTGCGGCATATACAGAGAAGCATGTCAACGTATAGGACTGCTCGAGAATGACACTCATTGGGATCACACTCTCGAAGATGCTGTGATTTCGTCAAATGCTATACAAATACTAACATTGTTTGCCATACTTTTTTCTACATGCTTCCTATCAACACCGATTAATTTATGGAACAAATATAAAGATCACATGGCCGAAGATATATATTACATCAGAAGCGTGTTAGAACCTTAAATGATAGTTTGCAAATAAATGAAGAAATGTACAATAAAGCAATAATATATAATTGAAGACATGTGCTTGATGTTTGCCAACAAAGTATTAATACAGTTAGGAATGACAGCGTCCAATCGCCAAATGCACGACGCATTTAATCAAGAGTTGAGACGCGAATCGAAATATGATTCCGAAGCATTTAAAGAAACCGTTCAAAGAAACGTTCCCCTTTTAAATGAGCAACAAAAATATGTCCACGGTACGCTAATGAAAGTAGTGAACGATGGAACTGGCGGATTTTTTTTTTTAGATGCTCCCGGTGGGACTGGGAAAACGTTTTTGATATCATTGATTTTGGCAACGATTCGAACGTTGTTGGAAGTCGGTCGAACAGCTCATTCCACACTCAAGTTGCCGTTGAACATGCAAATAAATGAACATGCACCAGCTTGCAACCTTTCAAGAAATTCTGCGATGGCCAAAGTGTTGCAACAGAGAAAATTATTAGTTTGGGATGAGCACACGATGGCACACAAAAAATCATTGGAAGCATTAGACCGCACGTTGAAAGATTCCCGAAAGAACCAAATCCGGTTTGGTGGTGCACTGATTTTATTAGCAGGAGATTTTCGCCAAACAGTACCAGTAATACCACGATCAACACCAGCCGACGAGCTTGTAAGATCTTATCTCAGGCTGGGATAGGCGTCAGTCTGTCCAGAGTCCTGAATTACAAGTTATTTATAATTCGCAGGACTTTATTTGGAAAACCAGGCACTCGGCCAGCAACTGAAATATAATTGGTTATTTGGAATCACAACACGTTTTGTTTAAGTTGAAGTTTTAATTTTTATCTTTATTAAATGTGTGTGAAGCGTGTTAATCCAAGTGAACTGCTAGCTAACTGCCATCTAACTTCTAGCGAACTGCAAACGAACTGCCTTAGTACAGGGAGAACTCCGATATATATAGCGTTTTCCTATTCTTAATAGGGCCAGTGCTGCTATGTATGGGACATTGCGTCGAGTCGGGCTTGGGTTTCGCTTTTTTGGTTGATCGGCATCTTTCCATGTTATTGGTTTTATTTTGCTGCTGGGGTGATTGCATTTCCTTGATGTTCGATGGCACGCGCGCTGAGTCTTCGGTTTTCCTGACTGCTGGCATATGCTGGTATATGCTGGCATATGCTGGCATATGCTGGCATATGCTGGCATATGCGCATATGCTGAGGTTGATTTCGTTGGGTGTTGACCTCGTCATTTGAGAGCTTTGGTTACTTGGTTTTGCTGTGGTGAAGGCCGGTTACATAATCTTGGCCCGCGCCTTTCCGCCGATTGGCCGTTTGGGATGTTTACCATGGGATCCATGGTTCGTTACATACTTATCGCATGTTTAAAGTCATCCGTTTTATGGAAAGACGATAAAGCGCTTAAATTAAATATAAACATGCGAGTCGAATTGCAGAACGAGCAATCTGGAGAAGTTTTTTACAAACAATTGCTAGATATTGGTAATGGTAAAATACCTGTTGACTCATTGTCTGGATACTTCACATTTCCTACCAATTTTTGTAACTTTACTGAAACAAAGACACAACTCGTCGAGAAGGTTTTCCCAAACATAGCTCAAAATTTTAAAAATCATTTATGGTTGAGCAAAAGAGCTATATTTGCTGCAAAAAACGTTGATGTCAATGAAATGAATTTCCAGATTCCAATAATATAGCTGGCGAATTAATAACATACAAATCGATTGATGATGTTGTCAACTATCCAACGGAGTTCTTAAATTCGATGGAACTTTCCCGGACTACCACCTCATAATCTGCAACTAAAGATCGGATCGGTAATTATTATGTTGTGGAATATAAACCAGCCACGTCTTTGTAATGGCACCCGACTTGCGGTGAAGAAATTAATGAACAACGTCATCGAAGCTACAATTCCACGGATTCCTTTGATTTCGAACGACATGCCATTCGACTTTAAACGGTTACAGTTTTCAAAGAGGCTAGCATTTGCAATGTTGATAAATAAATATCAAGGGCAGTCGCTAATTATTTGTTGCATTAATCTTGAAAATCAATGTTTTTCGCATGGCCAGTTCCCGAGTCGGAGTACCAACCAAACTATTTATATACGCGCAAGAGAAAAAAAACAAAGAATGTTGCTTATCATAAAGCATTTCAATAATAAACACTTTCTTTCTGAAATATTTTTTAGTTAATTATACCAGTTTGAAATCAATATTTATAGTTAAGACAGAACAACTTCTGTCGGGTACGCAAGAAATGATTTTCATGTGGAACAAACGGATAAAAAGGCGCAGCTGAAAAATTAGCTTACTGTCGGAAAATCGACAAACGGGTCGAGACGAAGGATGTCGATTGCTTGAACTCCTTTATTCAAGATCAAATCGCTGGAGAGCTGCATTCATACAATAAATCGTAACGCCAATCTTTGATAGTCTGTTGGATTAATCGTTTCATAATAGATTTTGTTTTTATACCTTTTTGTGTGAAAAATTGTTTTCTGAAAAAATTTTAATTTGTGTAAGTATATTTCTGGCATTTGAAAATGTGTGCATTTTAACCTGTGGTTTTTAAAGCTAAATGTCGAGACAATCAAATTTAGGCCGGCGAACGCGAAATGCGTCACAAGTCGTGCCTTCGAGGAGCCGTGAAAGTATCCAAGACATTTCATATCGCAATGAAAATAATCTTCTACGCACAGCAAGATCCTCTTCAGATCAACGGAGCAATGACAACAACAACTGCAAATGAACGTCGTGAAATATATAATCTACAATCTATACCGTCAGAGACAACTTCATGCCAACGTTTAATGTAAGGCAAACCATCGGCCTTAAGCATTCATTATACCGACGGCAAAACAAAGAATATTGTTTATCAAAGTATTGCAACAAATCAAATATGTCAATACATAAAAATTATCATTGTTTAATTTCGATGAATTCCTAAACATTAAGTTCATTTGGTAAGCAGCGAAGTGCGCGGGTCTGCTAGTAACAGCTAAAAATATACCGTGAGACAGGATTAAACAATTTTTCTCGTATATTTTTTTACTAAGTTGAATATGTAGAGAGATATTTTGAAAAAACTTTTCTCAAGAATCATATTTTTTAAAAGTGATAAAGTAATAGAAAACAGGGTTAAAAACAACATAAAAAATACCAAAAAAAAAAAACAAAAAAGTGAAGTTTTGCGTTTTTGAATAGGATTTTACATCAAAGTTAATGAAATTATACATCGATTAGGTAAATAGGTAACCGTTTACTAAATTTAGACTATAATATCTTTACGGAAATATATGGAAATGTGTTTTTATAGATATTTTTTTATCTAAGTGGACCTCGTCAGAGAAATGCCCATATATACTCGTCTGTAATCGGTATTCATTCTGTCAGATTTCCGAATATGATTCAGATTGGATCATTCTTATAGCCACAATAAAGAAATTAATTTTCAGTTTCTTACCCCGCCTCTCCAGAAACCCTGTGCAATGCAAAAACTTTCGTGGAGAAGATGTAGAATCTACATTGTAAATGTAAACGTAGATGACAGATATAGAAAAAAATGTTTAAATATAATATATTTTAAAATTTGACATATATTATAAGCTCACGTATTTATATACTGACTGAGTACGGGTATTAAAGTAGAGTCGCGTCCACAGAAGCGACTCACAGCGTTCTTTCTCGTTATATTTTATTATTCAATTTTTCCAGCCGAACCTCGCTTGGCTCCCCTTAGTTTTTGTTGTGTCTGCCCTGCCTGTTTTGTGGATGTGCCCACGAAATACCATCGGTTGCTTCTATAGTTTACATCTGTATTTCTTTTTTCGGATCTGAATACTCGTCTTTTTTCGAAAAAGGCATGAATTTACGAATATCAGATTTTGTCGACCAAATATTTCGTCGATATGATTCAGGCCGGTCGGGGAACGAACAGCAGCAAAAAAAATGTGTTTGACCAAAAAAAAAGGCGTGATATCTTTTCTATACGTTTCTATACGAATATCTTTCCTGATTTGACCGGTGATAATTTTTGTTGATCGTTGATATTCTAAATGCAGAGTCATAAATACTTCTCTTAATGTATTCATTACTACATACGATAAAAACTCGGCGGGATCATTATTATATCCTCAATGAATCATTTGAGACTCTTAATTCGAATAGATACATATGCCTCTGGATATTCCGATAGACAAATTGAGATTGATACGGCTCATTCTCAGCAGCACCTTTGATTTTTAGAAGCTGGATATGTAAAAAGTTAATTGTAAATACTTTTATGTATCTTTTATATTTACTAGATTCATTCAAGAGGCCTAAAATTTGGAATCTATGAGGATTATGGTAACTTTACATGCGCTGGATATCCAGGTATCATTGGATATGAACAAGAAGATGCATATCAGTTTGCTGAATGGAACGTTGATTATGTTAAATTAGATGGTTGCTATTCATTGCCAATTGAAATGGACTTAGGCTATTCCACATTCGGAAAACTGCTCAATAATACTGGAAAACCGATGGTATTTTCATGTAGCTGGCCTGTTTATCAAATATATGCCGGAATTCAACCAAATTTTTCTGCAGTGAGAACTTACTGCAACCTTTGGAGAAATTATGATGACATTCAAGATTCTTGGACGTCTGTTGAAAATATAATTGACTATTACGGAAATAATCAAGATTTATTAGCACCAAATGCGGGACCTGGACATTGGAATGATCCGGATATGGTAAAGTACATTCAGTAAATATCATTGTTTCGGACCACAGCTAGAATAAGCAGCTAAATCACCATAATTATCATAAATAAGCGCTGCCGTTCCTTCTTGCTAACAAAGAAAGAACATAGATATAGAAATATGTATGTATATGTGTATGATGCTGCGCTCTCCCTGGTAAAGTGGGTGCTCTGCACCTGCCGCTTCGGCTGTTGCTTTGATCGGCCGTCGTTGCCGTCGTTTAGTTGCCAATCACTCGCAGCCAATCACTCGCAGCTTAATTTGTATACCGAACCCCTCTTGCAAAAGAGCGAGCAATTGACTTTAGCTAGCCGCCGGTATAAATAAACATTATAAAGTTTTAACACGCTGTCCATCTGGCCATCGACGAGGGTGAGCCTCTTGGCTCAGCTGCCCTGCTAAAGGAGTTTTATGTTGATGATAAATCGTGCGTTTTGATTCTGGCCGTCCGGCATGGAGTGTTCGTTGAGCTGTCGAAAATCCACGCACATGCGCCATTTCCCATTCTTTTTGCGCACGAGTACGATTGGCGCGCTGTGAGGGCTACGGAAGGGCTCGATGAGACCTTTGGTTATCAATTGGTCCACTTGTTCATCGATGATTCGCATCATGGCCAGGTTTTTAGGATAGTATCGTTGCTTGATGGGTCGATTATCCCTCATGACGATGGTATGCTCGGCGATGTCTGAGGTGCCATGGAGGGTAGCTTCGGTAGCTCTTCGTCTAGAAATGCTTTAGTTTGTGGCGCTATGTCGGGTGGCCAAGGCTCTGGGGCTGGTTCCGACTCGTCCTCGATCTCGGGGTCAAAGTGTTGGTTCGGGGCTTCGGGTAGGATGGTGGTGTCAAACGCGCTGGGTTTTTTGATTTTGCGGGGGAGTTCGCTGATGTGGTACGATATTTTGGTATGCTGGATGTAGTACTCGTGTTATACTACAGCCAGACTGGTACGTGAACAGGTGAGTTGCGATGACGCCTCTGGTATCGCAACAACGACTTGTTTGGGCGACGATGATCTCAGACATGGCTCTATGCATGGCTCGGTGCATAGCGCTAAGAATCATGTTGGTACGCGGAAGGTACTCCAATGGGTTGGCGAAGATCTGTGTGGCGTCGGGCGTGGGTATGACAGGGCTGCGGTGGGTGCATCGTGGGGTCATCGTCCTGGTTTCCGGGCTCGCGTTGAGGGGATCTGTGCATATCAGTTCAATTATGGGCCCCGACCAGCGTGAGGTCAACGTGGATGTTTCCCTTGTTGCTGGGCTGTTGATCTGTTGCTGCCGTTGTCGGCGTCAATGTTGTTGTCTAGGTTCAGGGCTGATTTTCGTCTCTGAGGGTGTTTCTGTGTTCACTTTCTCCTTGGAGGAGATGGAACTTACGTGCTCTGTTGGTGGTCTTGGACCTGGGCTTCCTGTGTCGAGCGCCGGGTTCCAGTGCGTTAGTGCTTGTCTCGTGGGTGAGATTCTCGTAGTTTCTTTGGGATATGTGTCCCCTGTGGTTGGCCTAGGACGCGGTTGCTCCGTAGTGACCGTGGGACTCGTTTTCCCGGTTTCTTGATTGTTGTTTCGTGTTGTTGGCTTCGGCTTCATGGGGCTGGGCTGGGTGTGTTGTTCTTCGTGGCGATCCGGGTCGTTTTGTTCGTTGGGGTAGGTCGTGGTCGTGTGTTCGCTGAGGTTTGTATGGGTGTCATGTTGGCGTTGCTGGGTGCCGAAATCTTAGGGATAGGTTGCGGACGTATGACGGCCGCCGTTGGCTTCGGTTTCTGGTGTCGGGGTTCGTTGCCTTGTACTCTGTTGGTCGGAACGGTGTGGATATGTGGTGTGTGGCACTGATCTCGTAATTGTAGAAGTGTGGTACCGCACTGGATCGTTGTTTCAATGGCGCATAGGAAGTCCATGCCGACGATAGCTTGATCCAACATGTTTGGTAGGACAAGGAGGGATATTTGAACTTCTCTTTGATCCAGCCTGATGTGCGCCAGTAGAATCTGGGTGTTGGGTGTTTGGTGTTGCTGGGTGTTGTTGGCTAGTTGTCGGGCGAGGTTTGCACTGACAAAGCTTCGGGATGCCCCTGTGTGGACGGTGGCTTCCGTTGCCTGTCCTCCTATTGTTACCATTGCCACTATCCGGTTCTCGTTCATGTGTAGCGGGGTTTTTATTCGTGGGTCGGGTCAGACGTCGTTCCCGGCTGATCCGGTGTCAGTCGACGACTTGAGTCGTTTCCCGACGTGTTCTGGGGACAGCAATCGATGGTCCGTGTGCGTGGGATTTTGGCATTCGTATGCCGCATGCCCTTCTTCACCACACCGGCGACAGGCTAGGAGTGGGTTGGCGATGTGGGTCGTGATCATGCGACGTGCTACCTCGGGCTTTCCCGTACTCACTGGGTTTGATGGATGTCTCCTTGGTGAGTCTGCCGAGTCCCAATGAGGCTTCCGGAATGGTGTCCGATTGGAGTCGCCGCTCCTCTGCTCTATAGCCGGCCGTGCGTATCTGGGCGTGTGTCGTGGTGGTGCGATGTGCTCGGGATGGTCCGCTCTTGAATACTCTCGAACTCCGTGGCCAGCAGTGTAAGCTGTGACAAGTCTTGCAGTTCGTGGCGGCGCACGTACATCTGGTACGCTGGGAGGGCGTTGTCGTATATCCTGTTTAGCTCCTTTGCTGCGTCGTACCCGGCGTGGTGCATTAGTAGACGTATCTCGATGAGGAAATCTTTGAACAGTTCCCCCGCCACTTGCTTGTGGGCTCGGATCTGGTCTTCCAATTGTTCAAAATACCGTGGTGGCAAGAAGAACGTTAAGAATTCCTGGCGGAAATTTTCCCATGAAGAACTTTGTAGGCGGCTGGTGCGGAACCAACGGCTGGCACGGTCTGTGAGCTGGCTGCTGGCTTGTGTCCACCCCATACGAGAGGGCGCGTTCTTCGAGCAGTTTTATGAATGATAGAGGGTCATCTTGGCCGTCAAACTGGATTCCCTTCTTTCGGATGCATTCCGCCATTGGTGCAGCGTGATTGTAGTGGTGCCCTTCCATGGGTCGGTCGATCGCTGGCAAGGCCCTCGGTACGGGCGCTGGGTGGGTCTCTGTAGCTAGGTGAATTGGAAACGGGGCTGCTGGAGTACGGTATTCGGTGGCTGCGGGGACTCGTGATCCGGTCTTAGGATCCTTTTGACGAGTGTCGGATGGTCCAGGAGTAGTGGGCAGTGGTGACTTGGAGCGAGAGCGTGAGGCTGGTTTGGCATAGTGCCTCTCGAACTCTCCTAGGCGAACCCAGGCTTCTTGCGCGAGTGGCCCGGCGACTAGTGCTGCAAATTTCTTTCGGCGTTCATCGACCGTTCCTTCGCTGCCGAATCCGAATTCTTCGGCGAGGACTTCTAGTTCGTCCCGACGGAGTTTGTGGATCCAGCCGGTGCTGACCCCTGGATTGGAAAAGTGTCCCGCAGGGTATGCCTCCTCTGGTTGTTCATCGTCGTGATGTTCCATGTTGATTTCTGTTGATTTTTGGCACTGAGTCACTGTTGAACGCGTTTGTTTTCGCGCCCGGATTATGTAAGTGTGCGGATTTGTTATTGATTCAAATTTCCACGAAGTCCCTGATTTCGGTTTTCTTGAAGTTTCCACAAAAAATCCTTTAAAGTCCCTGCTCAGGCGACACTTGTAATGTCCTATCTAATTCTGAGGTATGCTTCAGTCTGTCCAGGGTCCTGAATTACAAGTTATTTATAATTCGCAGGACTTTATTTGGGAAACCAGGAACTTTGCCAGCAAGTGTTTGTTATTTGCCTGACTGCTACGGCTGGTGGACTTCCTGCCTACGATGGCTGGTGGACTCGCTGCCTGCGATGGCTGATTGACTGCCTCCTACGATGGCTGGTGGACTGCCTTTTTCTTCATGCAAGGCAGTGCCTTTTATAGATCGGGCGGCCCTCCATTTTCCCATGAATGTCTTACAGATATATTATTTCTACTCCAGAATGTGGGAAGGGTTCTTACATAAATATATATTGCCGAATTATAGTCTGCGCGTGCAGACGGGCTGATCGGTAACAGAAGGTTACCCAATCCTTAGCCCTGTAGTCAGAGTCCAGTATTCCCGGTAAGGAAAGTCGGAGACTGCTCACGGGCTCGCGCATGTGAGTGTCCAACGTCCCAGGTAAGGTGATCGATGTGCACCGGTACCGTGGGAAAGGAATTTTGCTGGTACTTCGCGTTTCTTGAACGGGATACCAGTGGGAAAAGAATGTAATTTGGGGAAATTTTAGGATTATTTAGTGTTACAGATATTTTTATACATATAAAGATATTGTCAACTTAAAAACAGGTGTTGCCTGTGTTGTGACGAACCATGGGGAACCATGGTTCGTTACAGTATCATTCTCGCTCTGTCGCTCTTTCGTTCTCAGGTTAATTTAATAACATCGAGACTCGCAAATAAGCTACAGGTTGATTCTCATCCGTATCACGTTCAAATTGCCGGTATTGGAGGGACAATTCTTTCTTAAAGCAATGCTGTAGACATCGCCATGCAATCCCAAGATGCAAGCTATCGCGGTTTTCTCTTTGCAATTATCACTGCCTCCATCACAGGAATGCAGCCCAACTTTGGCCTGGACGCAAAGGACTGGCCAATGCCTAATAATCATAAACAAGCTGACCGCAATTTCTCCAATTTCTCGATCTGTTAAAAGGTGCTGGTCTGTTTTTTGATCGGACTGTCTGAGTAATTGCCGAAATTGCAGAAGACAAAACTTGGCTGGAAAGTGTCAGGAAGCATTAATAGCTCTGGGAATAGGTGTACTGCGGTAGCAGTTGTTGAAGATTCCCCTGCCATTAACGCTGATGAGACTAAACTGTACGACACAGGTACTGTGCGGTTTTGGGAGGTAGATGCAGATTATTCGCTTTCATCAATTTCGGAGGAAGTCATTTACTGTGAACAGCATTAAGTTACGAACTACGAGCGCTTAGATTCCGAAACTTACACCGTGCGTTTGCC